ATCTGGAAGCATTGAAAAAATGGGGGAGCACAATTAGTGGTTAAATAATCCTTCCTTTAGTATGAGATTGCTGAAATAGTGGAGGAGCTTCCTGTACACAATGTCTGGAACCAGAGTAGTCTAGCAGTATTATACAATTGCTCTATATCCCAGACTAGCTTTCTGTTGGAGTGGGATCTCCTAGGTGAGCAAGGATTTGTGCAGCTAACATAAATCCTGAGCGGTACAATGCAAAAAGGAAAATGACTTTTCTTGGGAATGCAATATTGGTGAATTCAGGTTGAGGGGGGCACTTCGTGTATCCCTTTGGAGTCCATCCAGCCCATTTTCCCTTTCTCTCTGCTTTGCTCTCTGGAGAAAAGATATTCATATGTTGCTTGAGGTCCTGATCAGAGGACGGTGGAGAGCTGTGTAGTTGGTGGAAGGATTCTCGGGCTGCCCTTCCAAGCGACAGTAAGCTACATGCAGGGTTCAGTCAGTAGTACATATCATCTTGATCAGGATGGCACATAATAGCAGTAAAGACTCAGCTGGTGCCTCAACAGCCGTTTCTCCAGGTGTCAGTTGAGAGTCAAAACTGACATTACCATAGGCCCATCATTACCTGTAGATGCATTCTTTAAGAGGTTAAATATACAGTATTTATTTATAAATTTACAGGTATCTCTAATTTGAAAGTTGCAAATTGGCTTGCTTTCGTTTTGTAGTTAGGCATCAGGAAATAATCAAGGGCTTCATTTGAAAATTGATTCCATGAATGTGGCAGCTTTGAAGGGCTGTGTCTTTGGTAGAACATTTTATCACTTGTGAAACGAGAATCTCATGTACTTCTTATGTCAGTCCCTTCATCCATTATTTGCCACCCCAACTGGGATGGCAAGCAGTGAATGAATGTTTTTCTCTATACTGAAAACTGAACACCAGGTTGTCTTTGCTCTGTCTTTACCTTCTCCAGCTGAGGAAGGTGAGAGAATTCAATTCAGTCACATCCTCCAGGAGCATCACATAAGGTTGTAGTTACAGATGGCTTTGCTCCCCTTCCACTTATCCAGTCAAACAAGTGGTTTATGGTGGTGTCTCCTGGGGCTTCACAACCCAGTTGAGCCACCCTGTTGCTCCAGATATGGCCTATGAGTCAAAGATCCTCCATCCCTGTTGTTTTCATGATTTACGTTCTTGGGGCACTGTTGTCTGGAACTGAAATGATCTTGCACTGAGAAATTGATTTGAACAGAATGCGATTACTCCAAACCTGAGGACAAGTTTAATTTCAGACTGTTCAGAAGCATTCAAAGTCTATAACATTCTAGACTTTACAGAAGAGAAATTCTGGTTACAAATCCAGATTAAACTTGACTCACCCCCCCCAAACCCCATCAAGATAATATGAGATGACATGTGCACCCTCTACCTTTGTCCATCCAATGATATGCAGCTTCTTTCAGTATTCCATGGCTCATGCATGACTTGTCAGGCCATTTTAGGATATATGTGTGGTTTACTTTTGCAAACCTATAATTTACTACGTGCCTCAGAAGACTCAAAGTAATCTACATTTGCCATGGCTTATCCTTCCCATGATATGAATATATATGTCCATCTTCATCCCTAATGATAGGCACAGGACACCAAATTTGAGTCATCTGAATGATTGCATTTATCTGAACTGGTAACCATGTTATCCTCTCAAAGAAAGAAGACATTGTTTATTCTGAATCAATCTGTGCCTGTTCCTAGTACTATTTACCCCAAGATGTACTGTACTTAATTACTTTATCATTTGCTGTAATATCCTCTGAGGGGTTCAATAAGGCTTCTTCTTCTGAGGGATTCAATAAGCCTTCAAATGGAGTAGCCATGTGTTTGGAGGTTTGCCCAGTGAATCTCACTTACATCAAATTATTGTCACCATGCCTTGCTGTCTTAGATTTAGGTTGTAGAAATATTACTTGTCATGATGCTTGGATATTACATGATCTCCTCTCAGTCAAAATCACTTGTGTCACTGTTGACTTATTTTCATGAAGACTAAAAATAAAACAGGCATCATTAAGCTTATTCTGCATCTTTGGTAAGTTTAGGAAATATTTCAAAGGATCATGATAAGAATATAAGAACATAAAAAGAAATATGCTGGATTAGACCTATCTAGTGCAACATCCTGTCTCCACAGTGGCTAGTCAGTTGTCTGTGGGGAAGCCTGTTAGAAGATATGAATGTCAGAGCTGGAACTAGTAATTTTGGAAACCTGGGTTTCACTGCTATACTGATTAACCTTGGGTTACATGAGACTGACATTCTCTGGCTGTGTATGACACTCGTACTGGTTTCAGGATGAACCCACCTGTATCATTATCATTATTCAAAAATACTAGTCAATCAAAATTATAAAAACATTGACTGTTATTATGCAACAGATACAAGTTTTAACCAGAAGCCTAAGTATTCGTTAGATCCCGGCCGTGAAAGCCTTCGCGAAGCCCAAAAAACCCACAACAACCACTATTCGTTAAATATTGGTGGAGTATGTATGCTATTCCTAATGTTGTTTTTTAGCTCTGATGGTGTTATTTCTGAGATTTGCAATATTGTTGTTGTTGTTCAATGTCCATAATTTTTTCCCTTCTGCATGGGGCGGACCAGCTGTGGGTGGTATATGTGTTTTGGACAGGTGGGTTCATGTCTTTCCAGCAGCAAATATCAAGATGATACAGTATTTGGTGCCTTGGGTCAAAGGCACAAACACCCTTCCTTAGTTACATACTATGATGAATTCAATTCTGTCTTCTGTCTCATGTTCTGCAGCAATAGATATGCCAAGGCATGTTTCCTGTGATATTTGAGATGGTATACAGTCAGCGAAACTAGTAGCCATGGGTATAGGATGTTCACAAAAGACAAGCAGGCCAGGAAACCCTGTGTACACCTATTTTGAGTCACATTATGGAAAAGGCAGGACATAATTAATTTTTTCCAGTGTTCAGACATGTGCATTGAGAATCCTATTCTTTTTTATAATGCTGAATGTCAACATTTCATCTCCTATAATGTCCTTTAACTTTTGTTAAAACAAGCTAACAAAACAGAACTGCAGTATCTTGCGTATACTATTTCATTTGCTTGAAAAAATAAGATCATGATGTCTCAGTAATCTGTTCAAAAGTCCTAAGGGTGAAGGTGGCAAGGGTGTATTGCATGTAGTCACTATTGAGTTTGTATTTTAGTCTTAATGTTATTTGTAATTTTCCTTTTGTTAATTAAAAAAAATCAAGACCATGATGTTTCAGTAATCTGCTCAAAATCTACGTATTGAAGACCACAAACACAGCTTACAGAAACAAACACAGAGACTGTTTTTCTGCACCAAATTTTAATATATTGTAAAGCTTCAAAATCATTCAGTTGGTTCAGGTGTTCAACTGAGCAAATCTTGCCTTTTTCAATTATTCTGTCAATAGTTTCAAACAGACTCAAAAATGTTCTCTCTGTGTCATACTTCCTTTGTCCTCATTAAGTTACATTATGTGAAATTGCACTATACAGTCAAAACGGGAAACTGTCATGTACATAATGTGTTAATTTGTTAAAATTGTAAACGTTTTTCATAAACTGATGATACTAGTTCATTTGGCACCTGTTAATATGAATTATCAGTAGTTGTACATAATGAAGTCATGATCATTTCTAAATATTCAGCTTTCATAGCAGACAGCAAATTTTTGGGAAACATTGCAGACGACTGTCATCTGATCAAATATGAAGCAGCAGCTTGGTCAAAGATGAAAGTTTGTAAGCTAGGATGTAGAGAGAAACTAATTAATGTCATCCTATGTCTCCTCTCATGACTGTTGACAGTGAAACTGTTGGCTAATGCATTGCAGCATATTTTTATTTATTTTGAGGTTAAAACATATCTTACCTATAAAATGAATTTATATAGCCATAACATGGGAAGACCCAAAGAATTCATTGCAGTAAATATTCTCACTACTGAAATGGAATTGCTTTGGTTAGAGAAGAATATTAAGGTATTAAATATTTTAAGTATAGATATTTCTGCTTCTGATTGTGTGTTTTTTGCACTCAACCTTAGCTGCAATTCAATAGTTTTGGAAGATATGTGAATAATTAGGATATCTTAAGAAGAATGCAAAAATCCCCAAAAACCTAGCTATTGAAAACCATTGGTGCTGTGATCTCTTACAAAATGCCGTTTTGTTTCAAGTTAATATGCAGAGAACTATACTGCATACTTTGAATAATAGCAATTACTACCATAGTGAACAAAGTGCAGGACTTCAGGATTTTTCAATATTTACAAACATAGAGTAATAAGCCATGTGCAATTTGTTGCCTTTCATATATTGTCAAACCACAATATCCATCTGCCCTCATCCTGCACAACCAGCTGTGAAGGATGATAGGTGTCACCGCTCAAGAACATGAGGGGATGGCACAAGTTGCCCATCCCAGTATAATTTCAGGTTTCCCCCTGTTTTACCTCCCCCATTAAGGCAAACAAAAATAGCTGGGGGAGGTTCAGATGACCCACTCACCTGCTTACTTGCAAGTGAGAAATGAGAAGTAATGGGTTGTACACTATCAATTTACAGTAACATGCTATTTAAGCCTATGGCTTATCAGCTGATTAACTTTTAAGTTCCTTGACTTTGCATTTGTGAGATTTATTAGCAGATGGCCCCGGGGCACACTGGACTTTGATGTTTTCACAGCAGTGTTGTAGCTGTATCAAAATACACATACATTCAGTGGTAGGCTGTGCTATAGAAATAAGATCTAGAAGCCATGCCCTCAAGGACTAAGCACTAGCAGAGGATGTTGATGAAGACTTTTTAAGGGACTAATGAGCAGGAGTAAAAGTTGAATGAAGAGAAGTATTGTGCTTCTATAAATCAAATATTTTCTGGAAAAAAATCCTTCCACAACCATTCATAACTGGAAAATTTCAAATTGTTTCACCTTTTTTTTTTAAATTTCAGATGAAACAGATAGGCAATGATGGCTACAATCCCACCTCTGTGGCAGAATGGCTAGATTATCTGGAACTGGGAGATTATATCAAACCATTTCTCATAAATGGCTATACATCGATGGACCTTGTGAAAAAAATCTGGGATATTGAGCTAATCAATGTAAGTCAAACCATTTTTGCAATTTAGAAGCATCTCAGTTTTAATCCTAACATGAGTGAAAAGAAAGAAGGCAGTTCTGTGAAATTTAACATATCTAATAGCATTTAATTTGGAAAAAGACATACTCATATATCTTTGACCTCCCACCTACACTCTAATTTAGATCAATTTTGCTGTCTCATTACCAGAGTTTCTGGTTGTCAGCATGAAGGGAAAAGCAAGATCTTTCAGCAGTATGCATGTTTGAATATACTATGTTAAATAGTGTGCCAATTTGATTTTCCCCTTCTGTACCACAAAGACATTTCATAGTCTTAACATGCAGTTATAACTGTATTGATCTAGTCTTTCACCTTAATTTATTACAAACTCTAATCAATGTTACAGTTATCAAAGATTAATGTAAATTAGGACACCTGAATTTAAGTAATTCAGATGAAGCAGTTTAGTTTGGAGGTGTATGTTTTCACTAGACATTGACAGAAAATAAGCAATCAAGCAAAATCCCATCTTTCTTTTTTTGTAGAAAGATAAATGTATCTGCTAATTAAGTTGCAAATTTGATGTTTTCTTTGTTCTCTGACTTGTATGAAAGATTTATGTTTTGTTCTATTTATGACATTTATTAATTGATATAAGTATTTCTTACATTGATGGGGAAAAAAGCAAGGTGTCCCATGTAAGCATGAGGGCTAAGTGTAGATTCAGAAAATACTCTCACTAGCAGAAGCATGCTCTCATAAAAATAAGAAAAGTAAACAGGGGGCAGCATAAAAATCTCATGGTGAGAAAATGTTTGTTGAGCATTCTTAGAGGCAGAGCTGCATTAAATCTTAACAGTAGGTCATTCGTTACAGAAGTAAGTCTTGCAGGCTTTTGTGAAACTGTAAAACTCTTATTCTGTCCTCTTGTCAAATGCTAGTGAAATAATATTTACTTCATCTCCTGAGATTCAAAAGTTTGGTTCTCTTGTCTTATAGGAATAACAGCTCATGTTATGTGAATGAGATCACTAGCTTCATGTCATTACGTTTTTGTTCACTAGATTCTTCTCCCTTTACTGAAACTACTGACTGTTCCATTTATGACACCAGTCCCTAACAGATATGACAACTTTTCATACCAGAGGATTTGGGAGAAGAAAGCAGTTAGAGAAATGCTCCTAACATAATAGTTCTTCTGTTCCAATGAAAGATAGCAGCCTGAGAGAAAGATTAAAGCAGAACAATTCACCAGTTACTGTTCCTTTTTCCAATTAACTCCATATTACAATGTTATGCTAACAGTTAAGAACCCAGAATTAATTCCCTTTCAGGTGCAAAGTTCTTTAGAATGTTTTGGAAATGAATATACACTTGCAAAAATACTTAATCAGAATTATCCATTCACATTTTACTTATCCACATCATTTATTGTGTAAGGATCTGTAAGTGGTTCAGAATGTCTTTATAAATGGGTGTGGGAGAACCTTGTGGTATGCTTTATGACTATATTACAACTCAGTCAGGTCCATAGCCATGAAGATATACTGTAGTAATGAAAGAGATTATATGGATTGTTGTGTATCTTCATTGTACTATAGTACATACAGTTTTTAACTTGTTTTCTAGTATTTGGACTAAAAACCAGCATATATGTGCTGTACTAAAATGTGCAGACAGGCTACACAAGAGTAAGAAAGTCTTTCAGTAAGTCAGGTAGGTAGATAGTGCTGCAGAAATTTGAATTTCTGTTTAAATTCCTCTAGCTATGCAGCAGAAGTGCAGGGATTCACACAGCAGCATAGCCTCACGTTGCCCAGATTAGTCCAACCCTTTCCTCATTACCTGGGACTTAGAGTCTCAGTAATTCACTCAAAGACATTTGCCAGAAAAAGAATTAAAATGTTTTATTACTTACAGTTAGGAACTGATCAAACAGAAAACGAGCAAATATGACTGCCTTCAGCTATAGGCTTCAGGGAACTAAGGAGAGCGAAAGAGCACTGAATGGAGAAGTGGAGCTCTCTTTGAATTCAGAGGCAGGAGGCAACAACTGGTTGTTGCTGAATAGATTGACAGTCACCCCAGCCCAGAAAGGTCACTGGCAGCCACACCATCTCCAGGCAGCAGGTGAGGTTGTAAAAATTCCAACAGATGTATGCAAGCCAGGATCAAACAATGTAGTTCAACGGATGAAAGCAGTTAAGTTCCATTAGCAGAGCTGAATGGGATGTGTGTGATGGTCTCCCTATCCCTAGCTGGCTTCAAAATATGCTCTGGAAGGTTTGGAAATTGTTTGGAGCACATTTGACAACAGCATGGAAGAAAAGGATTCTGGGGTGGTTGGTGGGGATTGCCTTTTCCAGTTCTGTTTATTTGTGGATCAACACTACTGGATCCTAACTTACAGTGAGTATGAAACCTTCAGAATAGATGCAAGTTAGCAGGAGAACTTCTTCCTAGTTAAACTTTTAGATTTTCATAATGCTACATATTTTCATATTACATGTTTCAATAGTATGGTAATATCTAGAATAACCACATTGCTCTTCCTGTTTGTTTTCCTACATATCCCAACACACCATTCAGTACCAATTGTATGTAAGCTTTTCTGTTTTGCATATGTAGCTATACAATACAATGGTGCCTCGCTTAGCGACGTTAAGCCGTTCCAGGAAAAACATTGCTAAGTGATTTAATCACTAAGCGATTTTTAAAAGCCCATAGAAATGCATTAAAATACGTTTAATGCATTCCTATGGGCTTCAAAACTAACCTTATGCGAAGATCCTCCATGGGGCGGCCATTTTCAGTGCCTCTAAAGCGACGCAAAACAGCAGGTGGCCATTTTGTTTTTCCGGCGACCATTTTGAAACCGCCGATCAGCTGTTTAAAAAGGGTCACTTTGCCATGATCGCTTCCCCACGATCATCACAAAGCGATTTTTCCCCATAGGGACCATCGCTAAGCCCCATTGTTAAGTGATTTCGTCACTCAACGGAGCGATCGCTAAGCGAGGCACCACTGTATTATGTTTAGGGCTGTTGATGGGTTCCCAAACTGGTTTGGAGGATACTTTGGCACTTAGGATAGATCTTGAGTACTTCAGACTCCATCCAGTTCTATTTGTGCGCCAGATCCAAATTCATTTGTCAATGTGGATTACCAGAGTCCCACTGACTTGCACTGGAAAACCAAAATATCTGGGGTGGTGGTGGTGGTTTGTTTGTTTTCTCTTTGTTTTGTTCTGCTTTGTTTTACGTTGATATACATGACATAATAGAACCTAAAGTTGGGAGTATATTCAGAAATTTGAAATTTCTAGCCTTAGGGAAACTGGATGCCATACACACTCAGTTGAGTGTTCAGTCTTGCCCATTCATGTTACGTTTGTCTGCACACACACACAACAAAGAGACACGTATATATATAAAATCTCTGTACTGTTTGTATATATAAAAGTATATACACAAAAGTAGGAAATAAAGCAGAACCAAATGTTTGGGGAAATTTGGCTAGGAGTTAGAAGAGACGCAAAAGGACTTGCAGAGTTCTGTGAAGCCAGCAATTTGTTTATCGCAAATTCATGTTTCAGAAAAGTTAACAGATGACTGGATAGCAAAAAAAGCAATTGTATAGATTATATAATTAGAAGCAGAAGATGTAGAGGTTTTTTTCTTTCTGCAAAAACAAGACCAGGTGCAGAATGCGTTACATACTATGAATTGTTAGTATCAAAAATCAGAGGAAAGCTGAAGAACACTAAAAAAATAATAGTGCCAAAACCTGATTTAAATAACATTTCTGAAGAATTTAAAAATCATTTAAAAATCATGTACAAAACAGATTTGCTTTATTAAACTTAACTAGACATGAACCAGAAGAACCGTAGGTTAAACCCAGAAGTACTGTCTGAAATCATGTGCAAGTAAATTACACTGCCTAAGGCAAATGATATCATCAGTTGGGACAATTTTTCAGAAAGTAAACATTTCCTACTTCTGTTCTGAAACATTCACAGCTCCCATATAATCCTTTTCATTGTGGGAGCAATGAGACAATACAAGGAATTCTTTACTTAAAATTGCCAGAGCTCGTAAAGTTGTCCTGGCAGTGGCAATTTTCTCTAATTTTCCGTCCTGGACCCCACAGGTTCCTAATGATAAAAGAGATTGCATGGGAGCTGTGGGTGCCTTGGGACAGAAATAAGAAATAGTCTCCTAAAAATAGCCCATCTGATGACATCATCAGCCATATGTGGAATGACTTAAGCAAACAGGATATCAGCCATTATCAGAGAAGAACGCAAAAAGACTAATTGTGCAGTCAAAAGAAAAGAAAAGCTTCAGTGGATGACTGATGACTACAGTAGTTAATGACAGACAGAAATAAAGGTTGATGGAAATGGGTCAGAATCATAAATATCACTTTTCAGTAACTTGCACATAGGGGCAAAGATAACTATTATTATAAAAATATAAAGAAAAAGAAGACAATTTTAAATAGGGAATGCAAGAAATCTCTTTTATAAGATCCAAGAAATCAAAGGAAATTTTAAACCAATATTAAAGATTCTGAAAGATCAGCCAAGGTATATATTTGATCATGATAAAATAAAGAAAAATGGAAAGAACACACCAAGGAACTATACACAAGAGGTGCAAGATGACTTTTTTTTGTAGAAGAATCCTATGAGGAAGAACTGCAATTTTCGAAGGTGAAATGAAACCTGCTATCAAAGCAATTGGAAGAATAAACCACCAAGGGTAAATGAGATTACAAATAGCTCTAGTTCAAGCTGTACAAGTAGAAAGAAAATCTGAAGAAAAATAAGCCAACAGATATGGAAAACAAAACAATGGATCATAGATTGGAAATGTTCAATATACCCTTGAATCCTTAAGAAGGAAGATACCAAGAATTGTAATAAGCACAGGACTGTTGCATTTGTTTTCTATGCAAACAAACTATGCTCAAGATTTCACAGCAAAGACTTTTACTGTATATGAAATGAGAAAT